ATATATATATATATATATATATAAGAGAGAGAGAGAGAGAGAGAGAGAGAGAGAGAATTTTCTTAAAAATCATTTCACTCACCACTTCTGTGGGACAACACACAGTTATTTGTAAACAGCACACAATAACAGAACAGTTAAGAGCAGAATACAGAAATGCGCTTTTACTGGGATGAAGCTACTCTGCCTTGACTGATAGCTGTGGTAACTCTCATAATAGTTAACTTAGTTCTAAAGAACCTCTCTTTGCAACACATCTTGTACGTGCAGCCAATAATTAGAGGTGGTGCAAAGCCATGTTTGACTCACAAGGCCACTGCACCCCACGGCCTTGCCCCATCATGGGAGGAGGAGGTTGTTCTATAAATCACAGAGAAGGAACAGTGTAGTCACTATCAACAATTTGGCAGATGTTCAAATCAGAAACCAGAATTCAGGAAGCCGGAAGAAATACACTAATCATAGATAAAATGTACATGAGCAAACAAACAAACAAACATCAGAGAATTCTTCAGCTGTCCTATTCTGCTGAGGGGGTGGAGTGGAGGAAAATATGTAAAATGTTCCAGTGTAAGAGAATGCTGTACATTTGCTAAACAAGTAAATCAAAGTATCTATTGTTTGCCCACTGAGGATGTTAAAGTCTTTTATTATTGCTACTATAGATCCTCCCTGGTGATAATAGCTTAACCCAATGGCTGCATCAAGTTTCTGCTGTTGCATGTAATAATAGTTTCTAACAAGAGGACAATGGAAAAAATCTCATTGGAAAGTTAGGAGTGAGTATCCCATTGGAAAGCTATGAAGGTCCCCTCCAGTAATTTATAGTTTTTATTTCTAGTCCTTGAAGATTAGCAGGAGGTAAGATCTTAAATCTATCACTTGTCCAAGACTGAATTTTGCCCATTCTGCACTTCAGTAGCAGTGTACATTTGTAGGGATAACCTTATATTTGGATTGTGTTTTAAATGGAATTTGGTTGAAGCAGCTAAACTATTTGGAATATCAGAAGACATTCTCTCCCCCCACTCCAATTCTACTGTGATTAGAATGACATGACTAGTTTGACAGATTGATAGCTATGTGTGTACAGATCTTTCCTATTTCTAAAAAGACTTGAACCGAAAGCAAGCTCTTACATGAAGTCTCCAGAATTTTGACATGTTCAGGCTTTTCTGGATTTAATAGTCAATTAAACCAGTACTATGAGTCTGATGGACACTCAGTTAAATCACTAGACATACCATCAAACCCTTGGCTTTATACTTTCTTCCCATATAATGGATATGCTCATTCATAGAAGCACCATCATGCATCTCAACTTCTTCTGGAAGAGCATCACAGCTTCTAACATCACAGATTGCACAGTGGTGTTCTGCAAAATTGCATAGCAATAAAGTGTATTTGCAAAAGTCATATAAAGAGCAAGTGCCCCATTTCCTATTGGTCAGCTTTTTAGCATACCTCTGGGTTACAGTGCTACTTTGAGGAGCTTTTCAGACAGTAGAACAATTATCCTGAACCCTTATGCAATTATCATCTTTGTTTATTTTGTCCTGGAAGGTAAGGAAGTGTCTTTCTTTGAATTTCATAGTAAGAGGAACTTCTGCAATAAGCCTTCTGCTAATGTACACTCTTCCAGGCAAGGATCTTAGATGGTTTATAAGCACTGAGAGATTCCTACACAACTGAATCTTCCATAAAAGATATTATACTAATATGGTATAACCTTGCCACCAGAGCCTAACATCTGGATGAGGCTCTGAGAAATGACAGGCTCTTCTGGGTCTGCATTTTAGTGAGTATACTCAAAGCA